CTAACCTAATTACGAAATACAGATCCATGAGTAAGACCATAGCGTGCAATCCAGAAAAGTTAGTTATACTCTGAGCTCGTCAGAGGATATGTGGCCTGGGGGGCTTCATTTCGGACTCTACATTTTGGAAGGACAACTAGAGTATGTCAGAAGCACTAGAATGTCATGTTGCTGAGGGATCTGGCCACTGAGTTATTTCCATACTGATGGGTGGAACAGAGGTCAGTTAGTCTGTAGCAAAGAAGAGGCAAAGGATGAGAGTAGGTGGCAACCACCTGCAAACAAATAATTAGTGTCTGTCTTTAGACAGAGAACTTAGAAGAAAGAAAACAAAAACTGCAGAATGGCATAAGGAGAAGGTGAAAGAAGCATAAAAACAAGAGAAGGAACCAAGTTCTCCACATTCTCAGCCATCATACACAAAATGATCCCAGCGCACCAGGTGCCATCTTCACGATCACGCAGCACAGTAGGTCCTGGGCTTCGGTGTTCTTCAGCCTGGTCCTGACTTAACCCCTGCAGTTACCGGGCACTCACTGTGGGCCAAGCTCTGTGCTGAGAACTTTCCCTATATTATGTCTTTAGTCCTTCCAGTACTGTGCGGTGATGCTGTCACGATCCTTTACATTTTACACATAAGGAGACCGAGGCTTAAACAGATTGGATAACTTGTCTATGTGAGTGGCAGAGCTAGGGATTAAACCAGATCTTACTGGTCGCAAAGTGGATGAGCTAATCACTAGGCCACAGTTATCTCCTCCTTAGGATCAGTTTTACAAATCCCAGTACGTTCTATTATTCACATACTGAGCTGATATTGACTGAAGGTAGTAGTTTTCTTTTTTTTTTAATAATTTTTTATTGTTATGTTAACCACCATACATTACATCATTAGTTTTTGATGCAGTGTTCCATGATTCATTGTTTGTGCATAACACCCAGTGCTCCACGCAGAATGTGCCCTCTTTAATACCCATCACCAGGCTAACCCATCCCCCCACCCCCCTCCCCTCTAGAACCCTGTTTGTTTTTCAGAGTCTATCGTCTCTAATGGTTCGTCTCCCCCTCCGACTTACTCCCCTTCATTCTTTTTCTTTTGACACCATGACAGATTACCACAAACTTGGTGACTTAAAATAACCCAAGTTTATTACCTTGCAGTTCTGCTGTTCTGAAATCCAGCATGGGTCTCCCTGGGATAAAATCAAGGATTCAGCCCAGTTGCATCCCTTCTGGAGGCTCTGGGGGAAAATTCATTCTTTGATTTTCCCAGCTTCTAGGGTCTGTCTGAATTCCTTGGCTTGTGGCTCCCTTCTTCTGTTTCATAGGATTAGTGCATGGGCATCTTTGGGGAGCTATATTCTTCCTAACATAGGTGCCTGCCCTGTACCAGGTATTGCTCCAGGCAATATGAGATAGACAAGGAGGAGAAAGACAATAGCAAGTAAACAAATACATATGCCAGACAATGTGTGTGGCAAAAGCAAAAAACAATATAATCATCTCAGTAGCTGCAGGAAAAGCATTTGACCAAATTTAACAGTCATTCCCCCACCACTTCTTTGCTGGGAATGCTCATCCTCATCTTTCTGGATCTCACCTTAGATGTCTCCTCTTGAAGAAACAGTTTCAGGCATATAAGTAAGTGCTTAACAAACACAAATGTCTGTTTTTGTTTTTACTTACTTATATAATAGTATTTTAAAATCATACAGTGCTTTCTCAACTTACCCAACAGATGGATGTTTATTATCACAGGTGAGTCAATTCACATTTCTGAATAACATGGGCATTGTGATTACATTTTAGTAAAAGCAAACAAGTAAGCAAAACCCCTTTATATGTGTGTCAGTTGTTGTATGTATTTGTATAAGCGAGGAGAAAAGTGTAGAAGAATATATATCAGGCTGTTAGCGGACAGCAGATGATCAGTTTTGGTTTCTGCATCTTTGTGCTGATAAATACTCATGGAATGGATGAACAAGGACTGCTAATAATGGTTAAATAATGAGCGGATTCTGTAAGGTAGTGAGCATCCACTGATCCTTGAGGACTGAGTGGGTATCATCTTGCTCAAATCATACACTCTTCTGTTTGTTTTGTTTTAGCTACATTTTGACATCTGGGTAACCTAGATGGTTTCCTAAGTGAATTAAAAACCAAGAGAGCATAAATAATCAATTTCTGTACCGTATCCAACTTGCTTAATAGATTCTTATGCCATAATTTCCTCTTCTGCAAATTAGGAATAATAGACTTTCTGTAAGAATAACACAATTATACTGGTTAAAAGGCACTTATATTCATAAAGTACCAAAGAGTTGTCGAGTATAAGTGAAAACTCTCTAATTTTTCTTTTGTGACATCCATGCCAACTGATTATGCTCCAGAAAAATATATTATAAGGCACAGCTATGATCCCCCTTAAAGTTGAATGTATTTGAACAAATGTCACCCTTTTTCCATAACCCTTAAAATTAAATATTCTTCCTTTCTGGGTCTGGACACTAAGTGGGGGTCTGGTGGAGGAAGAGCCAAATCCCAGGCTATTCCTCATACAGAAGCTTTTTCATGATTTTGCACTGTAGCCAGACTGTATCTTTGGATTCCATATAACCTATGTTTGAGTCGTTAGGGCAATTGGAGCAAACATTCAAAAGAAACTTCAGAGTCATCACCCAAGCTTATAGATAACTCTAAGCCTACACAACTTAGACAAGTATCTGAGATGGCCTTTGAGGATGAAGGGGAAGACAAATGCTTTCCAAAACCAGATAGATTCTGTGGGAGATTTTCCACACAGACCATACATGCATTGCTTCTTATTTCTCCCTAGTAGAAGAGTATAGATGTGGCTTTACCCTATGATATTACAGCAGCCTTCTTTCTCCTCTCTTTGATTTCAACTCTCTTGCATTCGCTGATACTCAGCTTATGTCTATTGGCCATTTCCTCCATGCAAGAAATCAGTGAAGAAAGAAGAAAGAGAGATTGAAGTGCTTTACTTCTCATTTACATCTCTCCATTCTCAACAGTGCCACCCCCAAGAGCCAAATTGTGTTTTCTTCATAAGCTTTACCTTGATTCAATTTTTTCATCTATAAAATGAAGGTAATGATGAGATCTGACTTATATGGCTATTTTGAGAATTTAATAAGATAATTAACGTAAGATACTTAGAACATTGCCTTGAACAGCGATCACTCATTAAATCATAGCTATAATGAATATTAGCAATATTAGTACTCTTCATTTATCATTCCACATTTATTTTATCTTAATAAGGACAGGGTATGTTTAGAGTTCTGACAGATGTGAAGAAATGCAAAAGCCAGAAAGAATTAATCAACCTTATAGCTGTGTTAAAGAAAATCTCACGAGCAGCCCAAATTTCACTTCCTATTCATAGGCACTAGTCAAATAAAGAATTACTCCAGTAGATGCATCCCTGGCAACCTGAAGTGGTGTGCTATCCCTGCCTTGTTATTCTTGTGGGTGGAGCTCTTTAACACCTTCTCTCAGAATGGCAGAAACATCATTTTCTCTCTCTCATCTCTTCATTTCCCCTTCATGTCTGCTTATCCTTTGTCACTGAAATTATTCGGCTCTTCCACGCCCAGGCTTAGAATACCCGACCCGGCTCCAAAGGTCACAGGCCCAAGATGAAACAATTCAGCTTTTTTCCCCCCTAGAATGTTGGGACCTGAGAGAGATGGCAAAGGGCTAGAACTTGGCTAGATAGAAGCTTTGTATCACATGGGCTGTTTAAATATTCATGCAGCCTCTTCTGGCAGCTAACAAGGCTGCAAACTTTGCCCAGAAAAAGAAAAAGGAAGATAATTACTGAATTTCATAGCACTCTGAAATGGCTGCTGTGAAGGAAAAATTTAAGTGCTGATTTTTGGTTTAATCTCTCAGGCAAATGTATTTTTTTTTATTCAACGCAGGACAATAGGCAAGTGATTAAATGCATTTCTAAGTATTTTTTCTGAGTATGTCATCAGTGTTAGATACCCACTGACATTAATACCATAAAAATGTTTTGGACTGTCAAAGCCACTTCCTTTATAATTACTTTACTAATGACTTAAAATATTAACTGACACATCCCATTGCAGTCAACAGCTATGTTTATGTAGTAACACAGGTTGAAATTATCAGCAACTGAGCAATAGAATAAATCAGAGTGGAAGAAAGACCAAATTATTCTTGAGCTTGGTGGCTCACAATGTGAGGACATTTCATTTAGTGAAATGAATTGGCACTATATGTTCTTCATTAGCATATGTGAAGACACCAAAAATGTAGGTGTCTATTCATTGTTTTGTTTGTTTTAAGGAGACATTTCCCCTGATTGTAATTAAGATTTTTGTTGTCCTAATTCTGGCTGATAAAATTTAATTAAAACAAAGGAATTTCACAATTTCTGAAACAACATAAAAGCAAACCTTGTCACTGCACTGAACCTCAAATTCTTTCTTCAAAGTACTGTCTATTCAGTGAAAATCAACTTTATTTTATTTTTTATAATTACAGTCACAAGTTCTGACCTATCAATTATGCATCCTCCCAATATGGCATACAAAAATGTAAGCATTAAAAACACCCCTTCATCAGTTTGCCCCTTCTAACAATAGTGATCTAAGATGTCAATTCAGATAAAACAATAGATACTTTAATAGCTAAATATTAATAGTTTAATAGGTACATTAAAAGTTAAAAATGTCACTTGGAATGTCAGTGTTCAGTGTTTCTAGATGATTCATATTACCTAAGAATTGGCCATTAGTAAATATCAGGTAAGTAAAATTAAATAATCACTTCTTAAATTCTACTTCTAAGAAAATTCCTTCAAAAAATTCATAACTACGGTTAATTATTTGAACCCTGTAGGCATAGATATGTCTATAAATATGTATGTGTACATATATACAAATATATCAGACATATATTAAGAAAATACCTTCATGAAAAGTTGTATTTTTCATTTAATGTTTCAGATGTACATTACCAACACAATCAAAGCCAAAGGAACAAGACTTGCTAAGCCCGTTTTATGTTTGGGCTTAATGTGTTTGGCCTTTCTTACCGGACTCAACAGAGTAGCGGAATATCGAAATCATTGGTCAGATGTGATAGCAGGTTTTCTGGTTGGAATATCTATAGCAGTATTTCTGGTAAGTACAAATTTATTTGGATTTCACTGCATTTTTAATTAACTTCTATAATCACCTGCAAGAAAATACAAGTGTGAATCACCAGGTTTCTCTAAATGTGGTGTATCAAATGATAATATGTATATTTTAGGTCATTCATTTCTTCCTCCTTCCTCATTTATTCTGCCTAAAGTCAAATTTGGGGATGAAAAATACATAAATTCTACACTCAAAGGTGAACAAAATATTTTCACATAAAATGGAATAGGGCTAGAACACTCAGTCCTCCCTGGATAGTTTTTAAGACTAGGTTGCTTGGGGGGCGCCTGGGTGGCTCAGTCGTTAAGCCTCTGCCTTTGGCTCAGGTCATGATCCCAGGGTCCTGGGATGGAGCCCCGCATCAGGCTCCCTGCTCAGCGGGAAGCCTGCTTCTCCCTCTCCCACTCCCTCTGCTTGTGTTCCCTCTCTCACTCTGTCTCTCTCTGTCAAATAAATAAATAAAATCTTAAAAAAAAAAAAAAGACTAGGTTTCTTGGATATTTTAAAAATTTCCTCAGGTCACTTTTCATCCCAGAGTATCTAGAGCATCCCAAAGTACCCCAGGGCCTCAGCATAGTATCCTCCATGAACTGCCATGTCACAGCTCTGGCTAACAGGTAAACCTCATTTGAGAGATGAATTAGTTCCCTTCAGTAACTAAAAATCCATGGATGGTTTCCAAGACAGTACCACCTCAAGTCAGATTTTGCCAAGAGGTGAAGAGCATATGTAGTGATTTCTAATGAAGTAAGCATGCCATCTCTATTCCTTTTATAAAATCTCCTTGGAATGTTACTACAAGGTTTGGTTGTTGGAAAATATATTTTAGTCTGGCTTTAGAAATAATCAATCCATTATAAGCTTGAGTCTATAACATTTAACCCAGATGGAAAATGTGTAGACTATAAATCAAAACATACTTTTGCATGACACGTTATAATAGGAAGAAACACTTTATTTCCATTTTGATTACATTTAAATTGCTTCTCATGCTTAACTTCCTTTCCTCAGCTCCTTTCCCTAGTTCATAACCAGTAAGCAAAAACTTGTATGAACCTTTCCAGCTAAAAATTTGTGTGCCGGGCATTTTAAATAGGCAATGTTCTGTAGAACCTCCTGTGGTAGAGTGGTGAGTATGACCGCATCCCTGCCCCATGCCCTGTACTGCTTTTCTTCCTGATGTCACTCCCTCTGATTCCCCAGGTGACTGGGAGCCTAGGCCCACCCCCATCTCTCTCCCAGAGATATCGTATGGCTCCAGGAAAACTGGGGCCCAGGCTTGGGCCAGAGCCTTTTCATTTCTTTCACTCACCACATGTGAAGCAGATTGAAACATTTAAAACAAAACAAGGCAAACACCTTACATAAACCCTAAGAAAAGAACTACCAAAAGTGAAAATTTCAAAGCACTAGTGTCAGATGTAACTGTGTTTTGGCTCCGTGGGTCCAGAACCTCTTCACTTGGCATCCATCTCATCAGTCTTCCTACTTATTTTCCTGTGGCCATTGCCAACTTCCCTTCACTTCCAATAAACATCCTGACCCCCTGCAAGACCGAATCTAGAACACTAATCTCTTCCCAGTCACTTCCTCATCTGAGAACCAGGTGGTGAATGAGTTGGACTGTGGATCCCCTTGGGCTCAAGCCCTTCTGATTGCACATATTCAGAACCTTCCACAATGGTTCTTCAGACATTGCCACACACCTGGAAAATGACCTTATGAAAAGGTCACGTGAAGATAATGCTTTAACTGTCATCACTAAACAAACATTTGTGCATTCATACACAACCGTTTCTGAGTATGAGTGCCTACAGGTGCCAGGCACTGTGCCAAGCACTGGGGATGCAAGGAGGCTCAGATAAACATGATCTGTCTCCTGTGGGAGTTACAGTCTGGTTCAGGGGTCAGACAATAATAGGTTATTTCCTCAACTATTATTCCCTTCCTCTCTTCCTTCATAACGGAAACATTTACTGAGCTCCTGTTAAAATCCAGGCACTGTGCTTGGTGCTGGGGATTAAGTACATGAAAAAGATACAGTTTACTTAAATAGATCACAAGATAGACACCAAGAGTTTTATAGAAGGTTAAAGGTAATGATATCGGTTCATATACTCAGGAGATCTCTGTTGGGATTAAGGACAGTCAGAAAGGGAAGGGGATACATTAACTTGCAAGGTTTGTAAAGCAGGGAGGTCTAAGGAGGGGCATAAGGAATGAGAGGCAAAGAGCACAGTGCGCAGAGGCAATATAAAATGCTTCATAAAACAGGCATTTATGGAGCCCTTAGTCTATTGTGGGCCTGGGCACAGCATGCACATGAGGGGCAGTGGCATCCTGGAATGACACCAGTCATCCAGCATGAGTGACAAGAGTGGAAAATTGAAGAACACAGGGGTAGTTATCCTGAATGGCCTTGTAGGTTACAATAATCTGGGCTTTTTCTCTTTGTAATGGAGGTGACTTGAGAGCCACAGTCAGAGTTCAAGTGAGTTAAAGCTGGTTGAATCTCAGCTTCCTTATTTACTCTGTGCCATTATGCAGTTTTCCTCATTTGTGCCATTACCAATGGACCTTTCCGAGCCTCAGGTTCTTCCTCATTAAATGAGGCCAATAACCGCCTCCTTAAAGCTTATAAAGACTTAAAAGTTTAAATGAAATAGTGTATGTTCAACAAATGGACACATGAATGACTGAAGTCAGTCCCATAAATGATAGTTTGCTTCCTTTCAGCCCCTTTTACTCAATGATACAATCCGTGCTTTGAAAGTAGGTTTGTTGGAAAGTAAAACTCCAGATGAGGATAGAGGAGGCAAGTTGTGCAGAACTAGGGAAGTCAGATGGCCCAAATCAGACCTCTGTGAGCACAGAGAGAAGGGAGGCTATCTGGGAGGTCTATGGAGATGGAAGGCTTGGACCTTGATGGCACACTGGGGATGACGGAGGCGAAGAAGAAGAGCAATCTGTGATAGTTCCCGGGCTTCTCATTTGGGCAAGTAGAACATTTATTCTGAGCAGCGACTCCAGCTCTGGCTTGCAATATCCTGGGGTGTCTCCAATTATCTTGCAGTGTGTGCAGAACTCTGAAATGGTTCCAGAATAAAATGAGCACTAACCTACTCCAAGACTCTGTGTCACAGTTAAAGGCATCCACATCCCCCAGTCACCCAGACCCAATGTCTAGCGTCTGTCTTTGACTCATTCTTCTCGTTCATCCCCCACACCCAGTGATTCATCTGGTCCCAGTTTATTTCCACTACAAAATGTCTCCTCCACATTTCATTTCTTGGCCATTCTGACCAAAATGTATACTGTGGGATTGTACTCAATTTTTGAGATTAGTGCTTTTTCCCTTTCTTCTATCTCTGGATTCCTAACTGCCTCCTCACTTCGGACTCTCCTCCAAATACCTCCCATTCTGCTTCTCTTTTCTTTAGAACATAATCCGTTGCTAATAACAAGACAAAGCAAAACAAAACAAACCTCATTCCTGCTGCATTAAACCCAGATACGTCCACTGGGCTTCTGGGATTGTCCGTAATCTAGCTGCCTTTTTCCCAGCCAAGTTTATTTTCCCTCCTTGCAGGGGAATCCTCCACTCCGTTTCCTTACCCCCACAGACAGGTTCTGTCCAGCCTTTATGTTTGCCCCAGTGAGAATGCCCATTCCTCTGTATATTTTAGAGAGCCATATGAACCTAGGTTTGAATCTTGCTTTTGCCACATGCTGCGCGTGTGACCTTGAACAGGTCACTTGTCTCCTCATTTTTTCTAACGCTAATGAGACCTCCCTGACCTGTATTTAAAATGGCTTTCCCTCCCCCAAGGAATCCTTTCCTCATTCCCTATTCACTTTTCTCCGTAGCATGTTTCAACTTTAATATACCACATAAAATATTTTTGTTTCTGTTTTTGCTCAAACCCACTAGGATGTAAGCTGTGCATGGAGAAGGCGTTTGTTTTCTTTACCGTGAATTCTCAGTACTCAGTACAGGGTCTGGTAGTTAGGGGGTTCTCAGGAAATACTTGATGGATGAATGAATGAATGGGGAACTGGTTTATTTCTTCCCAGAGCTCTTTCAAGGGTTAAGTGAAATCCCATATGTAGTAAGTACAGTTCAGTGTGTGGTGCAGAGAAGGAGTTGGAGATCATGGTCCTCACCTTTGATGACTATTGAGATCCTTTTCGCACTTGAGATTTTTCTCAGACAAGTCCCAACTTGCCCAAAAGGTGTCCCTGACTACCTTGTTCTCTCATTTTTCCTGAGTTTCCACTGCCCTCAAAGTCTGGCCTATTATATTCTAATGAGGATTAATATCCTGTCCTGTTTATCACTCTCATCCCCTGTGCATTTTCTTTAAAGTTAGAGAACAGGGGCACTTGGGTGGCTCAGTCAGTTAAGCATCTGCCTTCAGCTCAGGTCATGATCCCAGGGTCCTGGGATCAAGTCCCACATCGGGCTCCCTGCTCAGTGGGGAGCCTGCTTCTTCCTCTCGCTCTGCCTGCTTGCACTCTGTTTCTGTCTCTCTGTCAAATAAATAAATAAAAATAAATAAAGTTAGAGAACAGAATCCCCATGCTTAAGAAAATGCAAAACAAATACTAGTTGAACAATAGTTGTAGATTGGTTAATACTATTTAACAAATATATGCTTAACAAATGTATGCTTCAAAGTGCTTCCAAAAAAGATGCCCAGGGTCAGGTCAAGTAGTTCAAGTTTACTGAGGCACAGCAAGAACTTGTCATGTTATCATATGTAATATAATAATAACAATAAGAGTTATTTGTGTAGTCTTTACTACAATAACTCAATTAATCCTCACAACAGCACGGTGAGATGTAGTTATTATTGTTCACATTTTGCAGGTAAAAAAAGAGCAGGTCTAGTTATATTGAGTTGTTTGCCCAGGCTCACAGTGAGTAAATCAGAGAGCATTAAGGCCCAGTCCTGTTTGACCCCCAGAGCCTATGCACTTACCCCCAAGCAATACAGATGTTTTACTTGCTACAAATGAAGAGGGAAAATGACCACAAATAGATCAAATTAATTTATTATCACCACTGGCAAAGGAACACAAAAATATATGTGTAATGGTGACTTATTAGTGTCATTTTTGTAGGACAGGGTAGAATTATACACATGGAAGCCATTAATGTAAAAATAGAATGTTTCAGAGGAATGTCACTTTAAATTATATAGGAACATCAGAAAATTTGAGAATTCTTGGCCTTGGTTCATTCATTAGTCGATTCATTCACTGTGGCACTGGGAATACAATGGTGAGCAAAAAAAAAAGAAAAAGAAAAGAAACAGTATCTCTGCTTTTGTAGAGCTTACAAGGAAGCTCTCTTAGGAAGATTCACATCAACTGAAGTATTACGTATTATGCTGACAGATGTATGATTTCACTAGAAATCGGTGCTTTGATGAAAAGCATCAGGGATTGACTTGATCAAACAAACAAAAACAGCCTGAGGTCAGAGAAAGCCAGTGAAGAAGTGATATTGAGATGAGATACCACGGCTGAGTAGGATATGGTGCCCAAAGAATGTGGAGTTGAGTATTCCAAACAAAAGGCAGCGAAAGGGAAGGACAAAGAAGGAAGGCTGCAAAGGTGGGCAAGGTTTATACTATAAGAGAAATGGGGAACCCAGTCACAATAGTTTGAAGAAGCCTGACATGATCCAATTTGCATTTTGGAAAGATCATTCTTATGTCACTATAGAAATGGATTGGAGGGAGCCAAGATTGGATTTAGGGAGACTTTAGAAAGCTACACAGGAATCCAGGCAAGTGGTGGTGATTGCTTAGTCTTTGGAGTTGGTGGTGGAGATCAAAGAAAGCAGATAAAAGAAATCAAAAAATCTTTTTTTTAGGAAGGAAAATTTAGCAAATTGACTGGTTGTGTATAGGAGGTATAAAGGATGAATCCAAGTTTTCAGCCTTATGCAATTAGGGGAGAGGGCATGTGGGGGTTGTTTTCCTGAGAAGATCCAGAAAAATATCAAGCTTTATAGTGGGGTCAGGAGATAGGCAGATCTTAGGTTTCACTTTGAACATTTGTTGAATTTTTCCTACCTTTGACAACCAAAGGAATGGACTAACTTGGTAAGATATTGCAACCTCTTCCCTTACAAATTGAGAAAACTGAGACCCAGAGGACTGTCCAGGAACATACAGACTTGGAATCAAAAACCAAGCCTCTTGCTTTTACCTATGAGCATTTTTCTTTCTTATTTTTTAAAGATTTTATTTATTAATTTGACAGAGAGAGATTGAGAGAGAGAGAGACAGAGCCAGGAGAGGAACAGAGGGAGAGGGACTTCCACGTGGGGCTCAATCCCACAACCCTGAGATCATGACCTGAGCTGAAATCAAGAGTTGAACACTTAACCGACTGAGTCACCCAGCCCCCACCATGAACATTTTTCTAATAGGAAATCAGTTCTATACTTATAAATGTTAGCAGGCAAGACATGTTAAATATTTGAATATGGTTCTAAAGAAGATTTGGCATTTCCTCCCTTATAATTTAAATAATAACAGTAATGAAGAATAATCATTATGTTAATAGATACTATTTAATGAATATCTACTATCTGCTAGGTGTTTAAATAGTTCGCATATGAATTCTCAGCTGCTTCAGTAGTGTTGTCCTAACCCTCAATTAAGGCGAAGAGATAACTGATACAACCTTTCAAAGAGTTTACCAAACCTAAATAATATAAAAGCAATTATACTAATTTCAAAAGCCCACATTAACTCTAGATGAACTCTTCCTCATCTCATGACTTCCATGAGATGGAAGTTATTTCATTTCAACAAATTTTACTTCATAAGAATTTGGAGCAATTTTTTTCATCTGCCTAATCTTTCATTAGTTTATTTCTATTAATGAAAAGGGAAATATGTGTGTATATTTCATGAAGTGATTGTGGAAGCTTCTTGATTGTTATGTTTTTATTGGCTAAAATTCTTGATTATATCCTTTGTACTCCAAGCAGTGGTCAGTTAGCAAACTATAGCCATTAGGTGAAATTTGGCCTGCTATTTATTTATTTTTTTTTTAAGTTACATTGGAACACTGACATGCCCATTCATTTACGAATTGTCTATGGCTGTTTTCACACCAAAATATCAGAGTTGAATAGCTGCTGCAGCTATTATGTACCAGCAAAGCCAAAAATATGTGCTATTTGCCCCTTACAGCCAAAATTTACTGACCCTTTCTATAGGGCAATCACTATTAGTCTTTTGTAAGGTCATCATTTGATACTAGGTTTATCAAATACCCATCTCTAAGCTTGTACCATCCCTTACATTAAAGATCTTCATGGCAATGATAAAGTTGATGGATCAAACTATCAGGCTTTGATCTGTGCTTCTGATCTGTAATTATTCATGGAAATGGAAGGATAATAAGTATTCTACAACTAGGGAAATATTTTCTCTAAGATAAAGTCTCATAGTATGCGTTATTATTTTGTAGATTTATAAATTTTATTTAAAAACTGGAGAATAACCAAGATCTAATTGGCCTTTGAAAATATTCAGTAATGAGCTCTACTAAAGAAAAGGCTTTCCAAAGGAGCATTTGTGAAAATCTACAATGTAAATGTGTAATTACATATTAAACATTTATTATTTTAAAAAATGAATGTTAGGTTACAACTGCAAGGAAGTTCTGTATTTTAGCTTGGTAATAGGCTATAAACCCAGAAAAAGAAGGCTCAAGAATATCTTATCCACTGCTTAATATAAGCAAACAATAGCAAGTAATTTTCCTGTGTTGTTTAATTCACTATTTCTTAAAGTATGATTCACCTGCATCAGAAGCTTCTGGAATGTATTTCCAAAAGTGACAACTCCTAGGCCCCATCCTTCATCTACAAAATCAGAATCTTCAGGGGAGGGCTTAGGAACGTGCATTTTTAACAGGGGTGGGCCTTTATTTTTATGTAACCTGAAGTATGAGAACCTCTGGCTCAGTTCAAATGCTGTCACCTATGGGATATAATCAATTGAAACAAGGGTCAATTTCCTTTATGTAAAATGTCTTCTATTTCACTGGTAGCCTCAGTAAGCTATTGTTGAAATGCCAAGTATACATGGGATACAATAATAAACAATAAACTAGGTTAATTAAAGGGATGCTACTAAATTAGAAAGTGCCAATTGTAGAAGGTTTATTATGAATGTAATGATCTTGAAGCAATGAGAAATAATTAGCATTTAAATTAAGTTGTAGGTTAGCTGCATTAGGGAAAGGTTAGCTTGCTATGAATTTTTATAAGGCTATGATGTTATTTATGGATTGATTTGAGCATTGACTATAACCTAATTTAATGAAAATTTTAGAATAATGAAATTGTCATTATTAACTGAGCTACACATTATTTGATACATTTTCTTGAACACATTTACACTGAAATAAAATTTATACTAGATAAACCTGGATGTAAAGCTATATATGTAATACTTAAGTAATTTTAATACTTTATTTCTATGATTAGATTTAGTAAGCTGCTTAAAAGGTCATAGTCACAGGGAGTGTGGCTTTGCTTCAACTGCATTTTTTTCCTGAAATTTTAGGTTGTGTGTGTGGTAAATAATTTCAAAGGAAGACAACCAGAAAATGAACATATACACATGGATAATCTGGCACAGATGCCAATGATCAGCATTCCTCGAGTAGAAAGTCCTTTGGAAAAGGTAACATCTGTACAGGTGATTCATAATTTAAATTCTCAAATGTGATTGTTATCTAGAGCAAATGAATAATCATTTCTGAGAGTTCCTGCACAGTCATGTTTGATTTACTAAAGCAAATTTAGAATCTAATGTGGTATTTAGCAAGAATTTAGTCACTGATAGCTTCATCTTAGAAAAATGCATATCACATTGAAAATAATTCTTTGAATACCTCATGCTAAAAGCTTAGTATTTATGTATGGAATATGTTCTGTACTTTGCCATAACTTTGAGATAAGGAACACTGTGCAATGATGGGTCTCATGCATGGGTGAAATGATAAGGTAGTCTCATTTGAGAATACATGAATTTTTTTCATAAAATACATTCCACTTTTCCCATCCTCTGTTTATGTTAGATAAGACTTAGGATAATGCCTAGGACATAATATGGCTCAATAAGTTTTGTTGAATCTCATTATATAAAGACCTGGCAGCAAGAAAACACCAGTCATGCTCTCCTAATCAGGGAGGTCCTGAGGGTCAGGTTGGGCAGAATGGAGCCGGACCAGGTAGCACTTTGAATGGCAGGTCAAGGCTTCATTGGGCATGACAATGAACCAATAGCCAGGTATTTAACAAAACTTTTCTTGAGACTTTTTCTCTAGACTTATCTGGTGACCTAGGGAGGGTAATATTACTTAAATGATAATGCAATTATGTACATTTGTAATTGGTTCAGTGATTACCCAGAGGGATATTAAAGGCTTCTCATCAGTCCTGTCCATACCCCCACTTTGATAGATATGTTAGATGAAGAGATCAATTACATGCTAATCAGGGGCTTAGATGGTATGAATCAGTGAGGGATAATTAATACATTGGTTGAAAAAATAAAAGTTCTTGAGAGATTAGATACAGTTAACCACTAGAAATAAAGCAGATGTTTTGGATTTGGATTTAAAAAGAAGTTCATGTAGGGTAGGGTACATCTAGGGTAACTACACAAACAAAAAAGCCTCAGAGGGTATAGTAGGTTACCATTTGGCATGTGTCAACATCATGTTACAGCTGCCAAGAGTTATATAATCTTAAGTTCCACTTAACGAAAATAATATCCTGAATGAGGGGATTGATGGTTTGCCCTGCTCATACTAACTTGGAACACCATAAACTGCCCTTATTGACATAGTTTTGAGGAGGGCATCAATAAAATAGAGTAGTCGGTACTCAAATATTTGTTAAATGCGTGAATGAATGTGTCCAGGACAGTGAATGGACTCAAAGTCATGGATTATGAAAGACTGTTGAAGAAATAAAAAATGATAGAGAAGAAAGAAAACTCATGGAAGAAGCAATAATGTTCCATACGTATCTGAAGGACTATTGTATGGCAGAGGGATGCAATTTGTTCTGCCAGCGCCTCAGAGGTGACAGTTAGGATGACAGAAATGAAAGTGTTAAGAGGACAAATAATGTCTAGAAAGAAGGAAAAACTTTCTCAAAATGGGATGTCTTCCTTAGGAAAAATGAAATTTCCGTTTTTAAAAAAAAATTCCTTTTATTATAAGGATTCAAGAATAGTTAAACTATCACTTATCCATGATAGTGTGGAGGGAATTCAAGGATCACTGTGAGGATAGAGGTACTAGATCATCATCATCACAACAATATTAATAGCTACCTTTTAGTAATCATTTGATATGTGTCAAGTACTATGCAGATTGCTTATGTAAATTCCACAAATACACTTCTATGCTCTGAAAGTCTAACTTCATTCCTTACAACAGTTTTTAAAGCTGGGTGTCATCATAGTGGCAAATGCTGCTAATAGTCCACAGTATCCCTTCCCCCATTCTTCCTTTTAGTAACTGAATTCCCCAATCCAATTTTAGCTACATCCACCACTGCCTAGCCATAGTCTGTATCTCCCAGCTACCACTGCAGGTAGGCATGACCATGCAGCTAAGTTTAGACCAATGGGATGTAAGTAGAAGTGGTCAGTGCAACCTCTGGTTCATCGCTTGAGGACTCTTGTCTCTGTCTCTCCTCACCCTTTTCATCAAGTGGAAAAGGTATGACTGGAAGTAATCTTTAACTTTTTAAGATGACCGATCCACTTTGACGGCCTAAGTTCCTAGATGAGCTCAGGAAACAGTCCACAGACACACTCTAGATGGTTCTGAAAAAGAAAGAAACTTCTTTCCTCTCTGAACCATTGGATTGTTTTCATCTCTTTCCCACAGTGGCTTAGCTGATGCCCGATTACAGTGTCTCCATTGTACAGTTAAGAAAACTAAACTCCCAAGTGTTAAGCAATTTGCAAAAGTCCACATCATCAATAAGCAGCAAAGTGATACAATGTGGTATTTCCAGATACATGTGTTTTGTTTAAAACTGAATAATATGTAAAAAATTATATCTTTTATAACTCAAGAAATGAATATAGAAAGCAACAGAATTTAGGAAGAGATATTAGACATATTTTGAAGACAATGGTCAGGTTAATAATTAGTCTTCACTTTATATACCTCTGAAGTTAACTTGAACAATAATCACTGTCTTCTGTTTTTTAACATATTTATTTGTGTAAAGGTTCTTTAGTAGCCTCCTAGCATTGCCAAATATCCTTATATATCATTATATCCTTTTATATATAAAATGATCATAAATTTCTGTTGTTGAATTTAAGCAAATTTATTTTAATTTACAGAGAGTTTTAAAATATGAAAGCAAGTATATTCTATTAGAATCTGTAGATTTCAAGACATCAGTGTGTATTAACTTCTTTCATTAATTGTTTTGTTTATGACAAATTCATGTGCTCTGTTTTTACTTTGATAGTTAGGGAATAAAGGTGATTTAGGTGATTTGAATCTGACTCAGTTCTCCCTTTTGCCCCCCGAAGGGCATTGGCACACACCTTGCTGAGTTCCGACTTTGCTCCCTACTCTTTTTATCCTGTTTCCAGGCAGAACGCTGTCTGCACAATGCAGGATCTGCTCCTGCGTCACACAGACCACTGGAAGATCACGAATCGAGCTACTGGGGACGTATCTCAGGCTTCCTTGTGGAGCTCTGTTGCTGAGAGGACATGTATTTGTGCTCATCAGCCAAAAAGGGAGGAACGCCATCACTTAAGGGAAGCCCACAGTGGCTTTCTCTATCTTTTGTGATACAGAGTATTTGGAGTAAATGTATTGCTTTTCATCATAGTTCGCGATGGGAAACAAGTGAATACAAAATTCCCCCCAGTATTTGATCTTAGTAATTGATAGTTGGAGAGTGGCAATAGGTTCTTGAAACTGCCCTCAGAGGAGGAAAAGGGAGTCCAGTATGAAAGTTTGGTCTGCAGACCTCGCCAGTAGTTTGAGCACTGTGATGTATTATGCCAAGCTATCATTTTCGGCTGGCCAGTTTTGTGTGAAGAAGGCAAAGGGTTTCTTTTAGAAGCTATGTACTTACATAACCTCCTATGTTCAAAGTACATGTTTGATAAACTGTAAGCTACAGAGTAATTACAACATGCCAGTGTTCTTTATTTTTATGCCAGCGGTTTATCCCTTAATTATAGGGAGTTTGTCATATAGTTAATTACCATAGTTTATGAGGAAAAGTCATGATTTTTCTGAAAGCTAAGTAAATCTGAACATTCATTACATTTGGTTTTATGAAAAGAATTAATCATCTGTGGAAACTGGCCCCTCATATCTCATAGTCCACTAAATATTTAAGTTGCCAGTAACTTCATTACAGCTGTTTGTAATATCAAATCCTAAAAGTCTAACTGTGTATCAGGAGTGAATAAATGATTAAGTCAGTGTTACATTCCTATAATGGAATCCAGTACCTTATAACGCGGTGTTTCAGCCACAGGTTCTGGAGGTAGACTGGCTGGGAATTTAGGACAATTTTGACCTTGGGCAGCTTGTTCAAATATTCCGTGAGTTTTCTCAATCATAGAATGGACGTCATGAGAGTTCAATAAGCTAATAGTAAAGCACTCAGAACAGTATCTGGAACCTGTAAAGCCCTTAATCACTGCCAGTTATTATTACCATTTAACAGTTGAAATGGATGGGGTAAATCAAGATGTGGAAAGTTTTCTGATACATATTGTAAAGGTTTTTTGTTTGTGTAAATTTTATTTATTTATTTATTTATTTATTTATTTATTTATTTATTTGAGAAAGAGAGGGAGAGTGCCCATGTGCCCCTGAGTCAGGGGGTGGGGTAGCAGAGGGGGAGGGAGAAGTCCACAAGCTGACTCTGCACCTGCTAAGCCCTTGAGCTCTTGGATCAAGTTGCGGGACTGGATCCCAGGACCCTGAGATCCTGATCTGAGCCCAAACCAAGAGTTACGTGCTTAAAAGCCTGAGCCATCCAGGAGCCCCATAGTTGTTGTTGTTTTTTTTTTTAAGTTGATATATATATCGTGTGTGTGTGTATGATGAAGCTAGTTATGTAAATTACCACACAAGATAAATTCTTTCTGGTAAGATATAAAAGAGCATGTAGATGAAAGAGGGGAAAAAAGAGAGAGAGAGAAACTAGATACCAATCTGAAAGCAATGCTTCAACAAAGGAAGCAACTGAGATAGTGTACTGGATTTCTTTTTTTTCTTTCCCTTCTTTTTGTTCCTTTGTTCTTTCGTTTTTTCATTCTTTCTTTTTTTCCTTTCATCCTCCCTTCCTCCCTTTTCTCTTTCTTTTGTTCTCTTTCTCTTCCTTTTTCTTTCTATAATGAAAAATTCATGAATAATTGTGTAACAAAAATAATTACAAAATGCTCTAAGGAGGTTCTGGTTATGCTTCCTCTTATTGACTACCGATATGTTCAAATTTACCGAAGTCCCTTGGAAAGATTCCCTCACAATAATTTAAATCCCCATGCTCCTTCCTTATGTGTCACAGGGATTTAAAAGGATCCTTTTAAAAATGTTTGGTCTATTTTTCTCTGCTGAACTGAGCATGAGTACCTTGGTTGTGTCTCCCATGCCCTCATGCCTAGGGTCCAGGTTCCCTTGGCACGCCTGC